CCAAAGATCAACGGACACACCCTGAAAATGGAACTCGATACGGGCTCAGCAATATCCACACTTCCATTGCAGAAATACAAGGAAATATTCGCAGACACACCACTGGTGGACACCAAAGCCATTTTGAAAACCTACTCAGGAGAGAAGATGAAACCAGAAGGAAAACTCCTTGTACGTGTGGAACACAACAATCAGGTTAAGAACTTAACATTGTACGTGGTAGAGACACAAGGCCCAGCCTTGTTTGGAAGAGATTGGCTACACGAGATACAACTCGACTGGAAACAGATCTGCGCCATTTCAAAAGAGAAGACACCACAAGAAACCCAAAAGAAATTAGAGAAACTCCTGGACGAGTACAGTGAAGTGTTTCAAAACGAAACTGGCACACTCAAGTCCACCAAAGCAAAACTAACGCTTAAGGAAAACAGTCAACCCAAGTTTTACAAAGCAAGACCTGTTCCATATGCCTTGAAACCCAAAGTCGAAGTTGAGCTGAAACGTTTAGAGGAAGAAGGAATACTGAGCAAAGTCAACTTCAGCAACTGGGCAACGCCTATTGTACCCATCGTCAAACCAAACGGTACAGTAAGGATCTGTGGTGACTATAAAATCACAGTAAACCCCCAACTGCAGTCAGAGGAGTACCCTCTCCCTCGCATTGACGACATATTTGCTAAGCTGGCAGGGGGGAAGAAGTTCACCAAAATCGACCTTAGACAGGCATACCACCAGATGGAAGTGGAGGAAGAGTCACAAGAGTACCTGACAGTCAACACCCATCAAGGATTGTACCGATACAATCGCCTGGTATTTGGAATAACGTCAGCCCCAGCCATTTGGCAGAGATCAATGGATCAAATCTTAGAAGGAATAGAAGGGACAAGCTGCATCTTAGACGATATGATAATCACAGGAAAAGATGACGAAGAGCATCTCGCCCACCTGGAGGAAACACTGAAGAGGTTAAAGGAACATGGCCTGAGAGCAAATCGCGGGAAATGCGAGTTTTTCCAGACAAAGATCACCTACTGCGGACACGAAGTGGACCAATACGGACTACACAAGACCCAAGAGAAAGTTGATGCCGTCGTCAATGCCCCAAGGCCAGAGAACGTTCAACAAGTCCGTTCATTTTTGGGATTGGTAAACTATTACCATAAGTTCTTACCCAACCTCGCAACCACCCTCAACCCCCTAAAAGGGCTCTTAGAACAAGGCAAGCCGTGGAAGTGGTCCGCAGAGTGTGAGGAAGCCTTTTCCTCGGTGAAGAAACTCATAGCATCAGATATGGTACTTACCCACCATGATCCAAAACGACCATTGAAACTAGCATGCGACGCCTCACAAGTCGGAGTCGGGGCCGTACTATCGCATGTGATAGAAGACGGCTCAGAACGACCCATAACCTTCGCGTCACGTACCCTTACGAAGGCAGAAAGGAAACTACTCCCAGGCTGACAAAGAAGCCTTAGCCTTGGTTTGGGGAGTCAAGAAATTCCACCTATACCTATTCGGCCGCCATTTCACGCTGGTCACAGATCGTGAGCCTCTGACCTCAATTCTTAACCCCAACTAAGGGATACCAGCCATGACAGTTGCCCGTTTACAACGCTACGCATTGTTCCTAGCAGGATTCAAGTACAGCATTGAGTACAAAAACACCACCCAACATGGAAACGCGGATGGACTATCACGCCTACCCTTGAAAAAGGCGTACAGCAAGGAAGTAGCTGATCCAGCGGAAATTTTTCATGTGTCACAGCTCAAAGTGCTGCCAGTCAATGCAGATATGATTTGTCAAGCAACCCAGAGAGATCCGGTATTATCATGTGTGGTAGAACACACGAGACAAGGGTGGCCAACAGTCAGTAAAAAAGAATTGGAACCATTCTACAGAAGGAAGGATGAACTTACATTACAGGATGGTTGCCTTATGTGGGGCTCTCGAGTGATAATTCCACCTAAGTACCGGGCACAATTGTTAGAACAACTCCATGAAGGCCACCCCGGAATCGTAAGGATGAAGGCGTTGGCTAGGGGCTACATTTGGTGGCCAGGAATGGACAAGGAAGTCGAACAAACATCAAAAGGATGCACTGGCTGTCAACTCACCCAGAACAATCCTAAGACCGCCCCACTTCATACATGGGAGTGGCCAGCACGCCCATGGCAACGTATCCACATAGATTTTGCGGGACCATTCTTGGGAACAATGTTTCTCATTGTCGCGGATAGCCGCTCAAAGTGGCCCGAAGTAATACCAATGACTACTACAAACGCTGCAAGAACAATTGAGGAACTAAGAAAGCTGTTTGCGACACACGGATTACCGCAACAACTGGTCAGTGATAATGGCCCACAATTCACATCAGACGAATTCAGAACATTCATGAGGAATAATGGTATCAAACACAGAAGGTCAGCGCCGTATCACCCAGCTACAAATGGAAGCGCTGAACGTTTTGTACAGACATTCAAGCAAGCTCTACGCGCAGCACTGACTGAGAAGAAAACCCTCTCCTGGAAGTTGACAAACTTCTTGCTAACCTACAGAACGACACCACGTGCGCTGACTGGAGAGGCACCAGCGGTACTCCTCATGGGAAGAAACCTAAGAACGAAACTCGACATACTGAAGCCTAACATACGGAAGCGAGTGCAAGAAAAGCAGCACGACCAAGAGTTACGATCCAGCCACAACCCTACCCGTGAGTTACCCATAGGTCAAGCTGTCGTTGCCCGAAACTACCGAACCGGAGATAAGTGGGTTCCTGGTATCATCACAGCTCACCCTGGACCCTTATCCTACGAAGTCAGAGTCGGACCCAATACATTATGGCGACGACATATCGATCAACTCAAGGAGACTGCAGTAACTCCAAGCGTTAATAAGGAGTACTACACCCCACACCTAGACCCAGATGTGTTAGTAGGAATTCCACCGGCGACATGCAGCGTCGGAAGTGAAGAACCACAACCTCCTTCTGCGAATGATATGGAGAAATTACCAACCATAGACATAGATGTGACCAACCTACCGACCAACTCTCCTGGCAACCAGAACGAGATCACGACTAGTAGTTCAGCAACACCACCACCTAAGCGCTATCCCCGTCGGCTGCGGAAACCCCCTGAAAAACTAAACCTATGAACTGAACTGGACTGAACTCATATATTTTAGATTAGTTCTGAATTTTGGGGGGGAGGAATGCTATGTCGGGTATGCCGGCCCGCGGTATCTGTCACATATGCGCACGCATGCCATGTGCATACCTTGTAGATTTTAGAACCGCCATGTTGAAAATATAGACGTTGAGTTTGTATTGAGTTGTAGTTTTTCGTCTGACTTAAATCCGCGAAGCACAACAATGAGTAAAAATATCATGCGAGATTTGTACTCCAGAAATATCCACGAAATTCGCCCGCACTGAAATAACAATTTGGAGTGTTGGATGATGAATCTCTTATTAGACGTTTTGTTGTTTGTAATTTGACTCACCCTAGGGGCTCGTTAAAATACGGCACAACTCGTATAAATACTCAGCAATACTGCACAACAAAATGTCTTATAAGATATATGTATACCACACTGGTGAATAGTGCTTTTGCATGTTACTGATTGGCTAGCTAGTCTGCAAGTGATTAGTAAGTACTATTCACCTTTGAGCAGCTGGAGAGACAAAATCACATGTCAAGAGTTACATATCTGACGATTTTTTAAGTCTTTGGTTTCTGTGAGGAATGAACTAGGGCAATTAGCTTGATTAATAACCATCACTATTCATCCCACTTTGGTTAAAAATCATTAATTATACTAGATGGATTTCAATCAAAACCTCAGTTATGTTTATAAATTCAACCTCACTAAATAAAGTTACTTGTTAACTCTTTCTTTCTCTACATCTGAAAGGTAATGATGTTTTCATTGCTAGTGAACTTTTCTCTGCTTTTTATTCACAAGAAAGTGGCATTCTATCCAGCCAATCTCTTCTTGATTTCAGTCCATTAGGCTTGGCCTTGGAATTTAATAAGCTGTAAATGATCTTTGATCCTCTGTTGTTGTGAAATTGTTAGATCTCTGTTGGACCGGTATGCTGCTTGTTCATCCAGCAAAGATGTTGTAGAAGTTCAAGATAAATGGCTGGAAGAAATGAAAGAAGAACAAAATGCAGAATCATCACAAGGTTTTTCACTGGTTTTACCTTTCAACTCCCAAAATCTGATTGCTAATTCTCCCCTCTAGCTGCTTCACATTTCCTTGTTAATAATATACAGGAAAAAATTTCTCAGTTCTGATTGGTTAAGATGAATGCAGTTTTCAGTTAATTCAGTGCAGAAGAGAGTTAATTCAGAGAAAGAAAGAAACAAACTGGACATTCTGATTGGTCAGAATGATTGGTCAATGTCAAGGTCAATGTGAAGGTCAATGTCACTTGCAGGGTTTGAATGAATTATTTTTGCACGTGATGCGCGCGCTTTTCTTCTGCGTAGTTATGAGAAGCTACCTCGTATTTTTTCATGTATATTATTAATACATAATCACATGATTTTTTCGTGCAATTTGGAATAAATAAGCACTTGTAAATTTTTTCAAAGACCACAAATTGCACTCGCCCTACGGGCTCATGCAATTTTGTTAGTCTTTGAAAAAATTTAAAAGTGCTTATTTATTCCAAATTGCACTCGAAATCATGTGATTACCTATACAAATTGGTCAAGAGAAATTAGTGTTCAATCAAGGTAACAACTTCTACCTAAATTGAATACACTTTAACATCAGTATCCATTTTCTCCATAATCCTCTATACATTCCCTTTGGTACCAACAAGGAGAATTTGTTTAACAATCAAAGCTTCTTTGGTTGGTGATCAATTCCTTTATTCTCATGACGTTAATTAATGATCTAGCAGTATTTCTGTAAGGAGAAATTAGATGCTGGTCGCTCGTTGGGTTTAACAGGTTAATGAATGCTCACTACATTTGTACATGTCACTGTATTGAAACTGTGAAAGTGTAGTGTGATCGTCCGGGTGAGTGTAGTCCTGGAAGGACTGTTGTCGGTGGTAGTGACTGACGTTTCGACAACCTGTGCGGAAGTCATCATCAGAGTCAAGTGTGTATTGAAAAGTGTATTGAAACTGTTAGGGAAATTTGGCAAATGCACACATTGATCTTGCTATTGTATGGTGATTGGCAAACTTGTGTGTTTCACTTGCAACTGTAAAGTTTTAGTAAAACCTAAAGACGAGATGGTTACCAAACTGGAGTGCAGATTGACAAAGGGATAAAACAAATATTGAAGTTAAAAAGAACTGCAATCAGTAACTTAAGTGGCCTGAACCAAGGGAATAATATTTTTTTAATGCTGTAACGAAGGTCTCATTCATTGGCACAGAAATCATATATCATCAAATGTGTTTCTCACTTTAATTCCAGATTTGATGGACATTGATATGACTAAGGAACATTTTAACCCAAACCGGCCTGTTCTGAGGTTTGTTGACTCGAGTTTCAAAAAAAGCTTTTATAATTTAGTTTTGAAATCAGAATCGGCATTTTCTTGAGACAAATTCAATTAATCCTTTCTCCACAGTGAAAGTGAGTCAAATGGCAGTAACAGTGACGTCAGTGATGATGCTAACGATGACGACGAAGATGGGGACGATGTAGCAGATGATGATGCCGAGAATGGATACGAAAGTGACGAAGATGACAAAGCTGGACTGCATTTTGGTAATATTGGAAACGAAAAAGGACAAAAAGAAACAGAAAATCAAAAGTTGTTAGGCGACGAAACTGTTGGTTTGTATTGCGGTACTAGTTCTGTTGAAGAGAAACATTTGGGAGATTGTTTTGGCAAAGAAAACTTGCGAAAAAATGATCACAATCTTGACTCTTCCGCTAGGGATGATACGCTGGAATTATGCACAAGGACCGAACTTGTTCATTTAGGTGATGGATAGTAATGGTTTTATTTAATATTCCAAAGCGGGTAATCTGTTCTTCTGAACCCATACCTGTCTGAAATAGAAGATCAGAAGAGATGTGAAATGGATTTTTTATGCTTTCACCTAACTTTGATACACCGAGAACATAGTAGGAATGTGAACCAGAGTGATGTACCTGTCTGTGGGGGAGGGGAAGGGGAGGTGTCGGGCATGCCGGCCCGCGGTATCTGTCACATATGCGCACGCATGCCATGTGCGTACCTTGTAGATTTGNGAGGGGGGAGGGGTTTTGCGAGAAAGGGAGTTCAGTGATGATCTCCCGCTTCCCACATCCGGCTGTCCCGCATCTTACAACTTCGACTCTCGTCTCATGCTCATTATACTAAAAACTGCAGATTACTGATTAACAAATGCTCACATTTTTGTATTACTCTTACATTTCCCGCCATCATTAGAGTCCCAGTAGCCACCCTTTCCTCTTTTGTCTTCGTATCCCCTTTATCCCTACGGTAACCCCTTTATCCCTACGGTAACCCCTTTATCCCTACGGTAACCTTGCACCCAGTATTTTCCCGGGCCCCCGCCCACCGTTTTTCCCCCATTCATGTGGGTTGTAGCCAGCAAGTAGTTTGCTCAAGATTTGCGTGATAGGTTTTTCAATAATGGAAATTTTTGTTAATGCACTTGAAAGAGTGTTTCCACTTATGTCTTAGTATTATTAAATCAGCAAAAAGCGGTCAACGATGAAGTTGTTTTTGTTGCTAATACCTTAACCTTATTTTCTTAACTAGGTCTGGATCGTCACTTTCGGCTTTTTTCTTTAGTTCTTAGCGATTTTCATGTCGATAGTCGGTTCGGAGGGAAACTTGACTGGTTCTTATACGCCGGTTAAGTTCTTAGACACCCTTATCTTGGACAATAGGTATAAACGATCTCTTCTAACGACTACGTTAAATCGTGCACATCGACTCTCATCTTCATCTGACCTCTTCGCTACCGAATGTGACAACCTGAAAGAGATGTTTCTCAAGCTTAAGTACCCTGAGAGACCATTAACTGTGCAATCACCAGAATATTCATCGAGTCTCAAGACCGAAAACAGGCGCTTGATGTTAAGAGGAAATGTTGTCAAAAATCGAACATTTTCAAAATGTGGTGACAACAGCCGAAAAATCGATTCGGCCCATATTCTCAAGTTAGGTAGGCCTTATGGTGAAACAAAGCACTCAATACTTCGTTTGGCTGAATATCGATTTCTTTTCGAGAAAATCGACAAAAGCTGAATTTCGTCCAATTGCCGCTTTCGAAGGTCAAAATTTCAGACGAACCTCGGAGCGTCCCGCCACGAATTGAAAACACTTGGACCGATAAAAACTACTAAATCTTGAAAAACAACATCAATACATAATTTGACAGCAATTTGAGCAATTCTTGATCATTTATTTACACAACGTAATTGAATTTATCCGACCTTCTTCTAACAAGATTAAAAATAGGTCAAAAGTAACCTGTTATTTAACTATGTGCAATACAAAATAATCGACTGAAAATCTGGCTTTTGGAAGGG